AGGATAATGGAATGGATTCATTACAAAGATCGCCATACAGCATCTACAAAGATAACAAAAAGTAAAATCAACTGGAACAAAAGAACAGAGTAGACCCATATCCAGAGGCTCGAAGGGGGTGCACTCAGCACTCGAACAACCACAAACGCCCCCAAAATACCACGGCCTTCGGTTGACCGATCCATATGGGACACCCTTCAATCTACCCTTGAAGAAATAGCACCAGGCTCCAGGATGCTGTGCGGTCACTCGATTTGGCGGCAGAAGACCCTCAAAACCAGCAGGAGAGCCGTAGTGGACGTCAGATCTGGAAGCCCTCGCGCGCGCCGCCTTAGATCCGCCGGAGGAGAAAGAAAGCCGTCGAATCTGCACCAAACAGAACAAAAAAAGAAAAACCCAACGAACCCCTACCAAGATCAACAGGAAAGAGCCAAGGGTCGTCAGATCAGAAAAAACAAACTGTACAAGAAACTAAAACTATACAAAACAACCAGAAAACAAAAAGAGTAAAAAGGGTCACCGGAAAGGGACCCATAAACCGACAGACCTCGAAGGGTCATTGGAGGATGGAGCACAAGCCGGCTCCAGCATGCTTGAGCGGCCGAGGATCCCCCAACGGCTCAAGCATCAAAACGTCGAAAGCTCAAAGGCTTCCGACCAAAAAAACCACCGCGTCGGAGAAGGTAGGCAGATGCAAGAGAGAAGGGAGAGAAAAGGGGAAAGAAGAAAGATTCAATCTGTTTCCTTTGTTGCCTATGAGGCCTTCACTAAGGATGCAGATGTTGAGGGTTAAGGGATTTTTTTCCCTTTTTAATTTATGTGTATCATTTTTAAGTCATCGAATCTGCACTTGTATTAATTTATATTGGTATATAAAAGAAATTAATCTCTTTTGTTTTCTGTAAATTTAATAAAATTACACAATTTAATTTTTGAAAGAGTGATTATTTTTGTTGATATAACAAATTTTGGTCTTACCTCTTAAGAAATGATTTTCACTAACCAAATAATTAGTTGAGGTTTAACCAAAGATTATGTTATGTCTGATTTATACAACACCATGGTTAGAGAAGATAAGGATTGGTAAGCGGCATAATTTTTTTTTTAATTTGAACTTAAGAAAATTAATTAGCTTCATAATGAAATGTTATAATTCATCTCATTTTTATAGAAAGAATTTATTTATATATAAATTTTATAAATCACAATTATGTAAAATTTTAATAAGTTATTTTTGCTTTCAGTAAATAAAAATAATAATTATTTTTAATAAATATGAA